ACACACACACACACACACACACACACACACACACACACACACACACACACATACACCACACACACACACACACACGCACATACACACACACATACACCTGCAAAAACAATCAAAATTACATACAGTGGCGTCCAAAAGAAACTTGAAAATGTGTTCATCAGTACCCATTGATGCAGTGTACCAATTTAAAGCTAAATAAATGGACATACTGGTACATGCATACAGTCTTATATTAATTTACAAATACAAAGAATACAATTAATGTAACTGCTTAGGTTACCTGTATCAACTTGGTGTGTAGTCCCTGACCCATTTCGATCCCTCCATGAGTCAGGAGGACTGTGCCATCTGTGTAGATGTTGATGAGCGAACCACCCTAGTACAACGATAATATAGAAACAAAGTTTATTTTATTATGTTTAATAGCACTTGTCAGTTTGCGTCAGTATGGTCCGAAGTGGCAGCTATTATTACAACCTTCTTCTGTACAGTGAAGTTACCCGACACACTGGAGAGGGATTACAGTTGGAGGACATGAGAAGAAAAAGGGGGTGAGTGTGTGTGTGTGTACGTGTGTGTGTGTGTGTGTGTGTGTGTGTGTGTGTGTGTGTGTGGGGGGGGGGGTGATGGATGTAGTGAAAACAGTAAACCCTATTTGCAATTTCAAAGGCAAAGTTGAAAAGATCAAACAAGTTCAACAGCCTAAATACCTCGGATATATCAGTATATACGATACCAAGTTTATGTCCCACAGAAATAAAATTGAGATATGAAATTGATGTTGGTATCGATCCAGCAACAGCTGGAAATTTGAAATTAATAAAGAGAGCTTCAATAAAACGAGTCCAATCATGAATAATAGAAACACAGCAACGACTACCAAAGGGAGGGTTCTAAAAAGGAAAGTATGGTCAACCTTTCTGTACGGCAGAGAAAGATGGACAATCACCAAAGAGAGTGGAAGTAAAATACAATCAACAGAAATGTGGTTTCCCTAAAACACTTTTGAGAATTTTAATGGAAGGAAATAAGTCAAACGAGGAAGCACTGAATGAGACCCACGTTGACCTCTAACTTATAAGAACAACCAAAAAGAGACAAATACATTATTTGGGACACTTGAATCGACATAAAAGCCTTGAAATCTTGCTATCATTGAACAAATAGAAGGCAGACGGGCAGGGCTGGACCCAGAGCGACTTTCTTGAAACGCCAGACCAGATTGGCGACGAGGAATAAACAGGATGACATAGTTTTCTAGAGCATTCGAGCAAAGAAATAATCCGAGAATCATGCTTTGGATTAGGCGTTTTATGATGATGATAATGAGGTATTTAAAAAAGTGAAAGACTATCCCCAGCCCCTTTTCCGACAAATGTACACCCAATACCCTCTAGTAACTTCAACAAATCAAACAACAAACCACAGAAGCAGTAAAGAAAACAAACAGAAAACAATAAAAAAGAAACACGAAACAAACTAACAAGGAAAATAAAATAAAACAAACAAACAAATATACAAATCCACCCCCCTCAAATAAATATACAAACCTATATTATGCTCATGCAATTAAGTAGAACACATCATACCGAGACAACATTTCAGAGCAACTAGATGTTTATACCTGGTTCATACTCTGCAGAAGAAACGCCAGACCATACTTCAGAGGTGTCAGAGCAATCCCCCTTTTTTTCCATCTGTTGTCTCTGAAATATTAAAAGACACGTATACATATACATATATACATAATATATATGTATATATAAACATAATTATATATATATATATATATATATATATATATATATATATATAAAAAATTATGTTTATATATACATATAAATATATATATAAGATAAGATAAGATACATCTTTATTGTCCAGATCCTGGCACATTGGTTTGGTGTTCCACCACGAGTACACACACACACACACACACACGCACACACACACACACACACACACACACACACACACACACACATACACACACACACACGTACACACGTGCACGCACATGCACACACAAGTAGGCTTACAATCACATGATACATAATATAAATGAGCAGCAATATAAACAATAATAATCGTAAGCTAGATACACACTCAATGTTATTTTGATGCATGCTCTAAGGTCGTAAGTACACTAAACAAGATAGATGGTTAAGATGGAAGCATTTTGATAGATGATGGTAAAAATGACCTTCTGTATCTTTCTTTGTTACAGATCAGAAGCATGGGTCTTTTACTTCTGACTGATGTTTTTATTTGAGGGAACAAGGGATGTTTGTTGTCTAAAAAGATGGAATTAATTTTCTTAGTGCAAGCTGTTATGTACAATTCATCCAAGTAGGGGAATGAAGATTTTGAAATTTTACATGCTTTCCGTATTAGTCGATTTAATTTTTCTTTATCTTGTTGTCTTGTGTTCCCGGCCCATGCTGTTATACAAAAATTGATAATACTTTCTATGGTTGAATGGTAGAACATGGACATCAATGTTTTATCAACTTTAAAATACTTTAGCTTTCTAAGAAAAAATAGTCTTTTGTTCACTTTTTTATGCCGGAGAGAAGTGTGGACACGCCAGTTGAGTTTGTTGTCTATTGTAACACCCAAATACTTATAGTCTGACACTTGCTCGATGTTTTCACATTTCATTTTGAGTGGCTGCAGGGACAGTTTCTTTATTCTAAAATCAACGATAAGTTCTTTTGGTTTTTTTCACATTTAAAAGCAGCTTATGATATTCACACCATTCATAATCCGAGAATGACCTATATTATATATATTTTACAACTTATCTAAAATTAAAAACACATAAAACTTCAAAGCGTGAAATGTATCTGAAACTTGCATGCCTACTCGGCACACTTAGGACCTACATCTCTCTTACCCTAACGTCTTGGTCCATTTTCTGTTTTACTCTAGTCGAGGTTGGCTCTTTTACCCGCCCTTGAATGCCCGTTCTGGTGTCGTTTGGGAACACGTGAAGACCTGTCTGCCATCTTCCCCCCAAATATCTTTATTTTCAGCGGCAGTTACTATTTCCATGGACTGTTTCCAGACTATTTTCGTATGTTATCTTCCCATATTTTTCTATTGTTCTCTTTTTCGAATTCCATTGGCTTTTCGTTACATACAAGATTGTTTGTACAATGCTGTGAGCATGGGATGCATTCTCGCAATTTCAGCTTTAAATTTGGATAGCTGTACGCCTACTGTTAAGAAGTCCCTTTCAAGCCATTGCTCGCCCTTTAGTTGATTAAGTTAATGTTACAAATTAATATAATGCTTAAAAAAAAAAAATCAGATCCTAAGTTTTCACCGTGAGGACATTGGTTGGACTCCGTTTATGTCCTACTTAATTCATTCTAATAATTAAAAGCCCATGGAACATAAAGGTAACAATAGATATGTTTCCCCTTTCTTTCTTTACTTTTAGGATCAAGCAGACCCAATGAAAGTGACTAAAAGCGTACCAAAAAATAAAATAACCTTAATTAACACTAAGACCAACAATATGTCATAGAAGTTGAATCGAATAGGGGCTTATCCCAAACAGTACTTACTTGTTGTATGCCTCTATCTGCTCCTTCCTTTGGCAGAAGTCACTGTTCCTAATGCACTCTTCCCAACAACGCTGAATATTGCACAGTTTTAGTACCTGACCACAAGGGATTTTGTCGCCTTCCTTGTAGAAGTTGACTTCTCGCACCTAGGAATATGGTTGTAATGAAAACAACAATAGAAAATATTTTACACCCCTGTCAACACAATTTGGAGTATCTAGTGGGCGGACCTTCGAATCTATGTGTCAAGGCTGACCCCAGATGAATGGGATACATACGAGTGCTTTCAGAAATCATACTCCACAGAACAGTTTACCCTCACGGAAATCAAACGTACATCTTCTGTTTGCAACAAATACGAGCATAACCAGTGCAACACAGACGCTGGTACCTAGTTATAATTACAGAAAAAGTAGGCATGACTGGTGAATAAAAAATATATAATACATGGATATCTTCTGCAACAACCCCCTCTCCCAATTCAGCCCCGTAACAACAATAACAACAGCAACACCAAGGACAACAACAAACAAACATCAGACAGGCAAACAAACAAACGAACAAAAAGAGAAACACATTGTTTGTTGACACTTCCACACACCTTCTCTGGAGACATGTCCAAATAATCGGCCACGTGACCAACCCAGTTCTCCGCCATGATAATGGCCTGAGGACCACCGAAGCCCCGGAAGGCCGTGCAGGAGGTCAAGTTCGTCTGGCACAAATGACCCCTGACCCGGAAATGCTCAATGTTGTACGCGCTGTCAATTTCCAGCAAGGCTGTTTCCAGAACCTGGTAAGAATTAAGTCATCATGTTTTTGTCTGATTGTTTGTTTACACACAATAAAAAAAAATGTAAGATAAATGCATTGAACGCTAATTATAAAATCGTCTCTTTGAGTGAAGCAATCAATCAAAACGGTGACGAATAAAACTCGAATAAATTCAGGAAAATAGTAAGGGCATCATCAAATCCAAATGGAGCTTATTAGGCTCCCTGGGGGTGGGCATATTTTGAATAGGCCAATACAAAAGTGTCTTTTAAGGTTCACTAAACTTGTCAATTATCCAAGAGACTTTTCTTAATAATAAAAAACCCAACCAAACTCCCTTGTCAAACCGTAGGTAAAATAATATAGAGCTTAAGCTTAAAGGAGAAGAAACAATTGGGGAATTGTGAATGGAAAAATGCATTTCTGATTTTCCTGCCAATTTTATAATCATAATGATAATAATAACCATTATAACATTGATAAATAATGGGGATAACAAAGTAATAACATTAACATTCAGAACAACAATACACACATTGTGATAGCTACATTGAGTAGTTAGTGAGAGTTGAGCAAAGTTAACAACACGTAGCGTACAAGGCATGATGGACAGACCGTGAAAAGGCAGGGTAAATTTACTAGAGAGAGAGAGAGAGAGAGAGAGAGAGAGAGAGAGAGAGAGAGAGAGAGAGAGAGAGAGAATGTCTGGATGTGCTTCTGGTGACTCACAGCATAGCTCAAGTCTAGCGTGTGGCCCATGTTGAGGTACAGGTCAGCGTCTAAAGCCAGAATCTTGCCGCTACGGTTGAAGCCGATCTGGAAGCGTTGGTGGTAAAAGAAAGGAAACATAATGCCCTGATATTCGGTCAATATCATGAAAAAGAAACGTCAAACAATTTAATTTGCATCAAGTGAAGTTGTTCGTCTTTTTTCTGGGGTGCTGTTTTGCTCTTTCAAAAGTTGACCCTGACAGTTAACTAGCAGGATTGAAACATCCCACTTTCTATATGACCTGCCGATTAAGTCGATGGGGCCGTAAAACATTTGCTGGCAGTTGCGTGATGCGTAAGTTTTATATGTTCAAATGTTACTTGTGTATACAATTCCAGTTTATGGATCGGTTCTTTGTTTAACCAAACTACTTATTTGAACAACATTTTAAAAAAAGTTTTCCTGACGAAGAAGTATTTGAACAGGATGAAAAACGCAATGTCTCTACAACAAATGTTTGTTAGTAAATATAAACAAGCGTGTGATGACATAGTCGTTGTATAACATAGTCGTACGAATTTTAGCAGAACTCACTCAGAGCCAGCCTGATTTTGTCCTCCAAGAAGGGACAAAGGCTACACTTTTGATACAATGCAACCCATTTGACTCGCAACTTGAAAACAGGCTTGATCTGTCATTAAAAAAAACTTTTTACCGTTTAAATTCATATTGCAGTTAGATTTTAAAGGTCACAGTCGATTTCAGTCAAATTCGGTTGAGTTATGCCAGAATGATAGCTTTTGCTCAAGCCGTGATAGAAAATCTGGTAGGCCCCGACGCCATAAAATTGAATTCGATTGGCAGTGTTCTCTCAGTATTAGCTGCTCTTACCGTGTATGTGATATAGGCCGGGTGCCTGGTGCCTGTCAAGCACATGTCTTCATCTCGGTCCAGAATGCAACGCACAGGATGATTGGTTCTGGAACCAAAGTAAGGAAGACAGTGAGATTATTGGCGCTTGTTAGGGTATGTGCCCTAAGACAAGACAGCAGACAATCCCTTTTGACAAAGTGATCGTGATGGTCTTCAGTAACATTCTCACTTTCTCCTTCTCATGCTCTTTTCCCTTCCCCTTTTGTTCCCCCATCGCCACCGCTATCACATCCTCCTCCCCCCTCTTCCTCCTCCTCTTTCTGCCATCCCCGGCTCTCCCTCCTCTTCTTCCTTCTCCTCCTCATGGCCATCTTATCTTCTTACGACACTACGCCATTTCAATACAGCAACATTCATTTATAAATTCATATGATCATTCATTTGGATGAAAGCAGACATTGATACTCCTTCATATATTTCCTTTTGTCAATCAATATTATCCATAAGAGACAGCTTTCACCAGAGGCACAGTGGCTTACTTCACGGCAGCCACGGCAGTCGGTAACAGCACACTGACGTTCCTGGTCTCCTTGCCTCCAAACCCGCCACCTGTTGTGTGGGAGGGAAAATGTGGGGTCTTATCTTTGTATTTAAATTATATAGAGGAAGAAAGACAACAACTGAATATATTTGAAAGGAATACAGCATGAAATGGAAGAACATTAATTTGGTTTTAAAAAATAACTCTTTAAGAATGAAACTACACTGTACCCAAACATATTTTCTTAAAAGTAAGAACTGCAGATCACCTCATTTCTTTCCGCATCTCTGTTCTGCAGTTATATTTCTGCTTTTAACCATTCCACAACTGGCAGTTTGTTCTTACTTTTATTACTCAAATTTACATGTGACAGACTCGTTTATACTTATTTCTTACTACAAACTAAGCTCTTCCCGTTTATTTGCACCAAAATATCAAAAGAAACTCACCCAGCCTCTTGACTTTGACCGAAATATGGTTAGCAGGATAACCCAATGCTCTGATCAAAGCTTTCTGTAACATGAACAGATGAAGAAAAAGGGAATTATTGAGCTGTTTTATAAAGTACAAATTAACAACAGCATCAACAGCAACAATTTAACAAGACAGAAAAATAGATAGACAGAGAGAAAGAGATAGGTAGATAGATAGATAGATAGATAGATAGATAGATAGATAGATAGATAGATAGATAG